TATATATATATATATATATTAAACTTTCATATATAATGTAATTTTAGTTTTAAGGTTGTTGATCAATGGTAAAAGAAATTTAGATTGGTTGGTAGTATTAGTTATATTATTAAAAAAAGTATTTTATATAAGATTAGATTATGACCAAATGCTAACAAATATATTTATTTAACTTCGTGGTGTAAATATGGTAATTGAGGTTTAACAAATTTTATTTAAAGTTAGGATGAATTCATAATTAATTTCTAAACTTTGGGTAAATTGGGTAAAATTTGGACCAAATTTGTAACAAAATTTAAAATTTGGGCCAAACGTGTAAATTTTGGACCAAATTTGTAATAAATTTTGAAATATGGGCCAAAAATATAATTTTTGAAAGTTGGATGACCTGCTGACCAGGTCAAATGGTTAAATTGAATACGGTTACCGGTATTTGGTACTTAATTGAATAAAAAAAATATAAGGACTAAATCGATTATGAGGCCAATATATAAAGACTTTATTGCAATTTTCCCTTTCAACTATTGAGTATGCTACATAATTTAGTTAAAGATATAATTATTAAATGTTTTTTCACATGTATATAACAGAAAAAGGAAATTATAATGACGTTTTTAACTATTTTTTTCTAATAAAAGCAAACTAATTTGGGTATTTTAAATTATTTTATACATCTTATGTTCTGTGTGGGAACAAAATTATTGTTGACACATAAAACACTAAACTCATACATTGTAATGATTTTTTAAACTAAGGTAACAAAAGAAAAAGAAATTAATGATTCAATACTCTAAAATTTTAAATAACATGTGGAAAGAAATTTTTTGTATTAACCCACCATTGATATGTTGCTAGTGTTAATTTAGATTAGGGCGTTTGAATATGTTAAGTTTCAATCACTCTATAAAACCAAAAGGGCTTTTATCGAGCAGTAAAGAGTGACTCACTCAAATAAAAGATCATGAGTTCAAGTTTCACTATAAAACATATGTTGTATTTAGGAATATGTTAGTTGTCGTTTCAAAAATAAATCAAACAAAAGCAACAAATAATTATAATCATGTGTAAGCTTTAATTTGTTTACAAGAAATATACATTGTGATCCAAAAAGGTATTTCAAGTAATTTTTAGCATTTCTATCAAATAAAAAAGCTTGCATTAAGAAAAAAATTCATTCAAATTTATGATATTAAAACTTTTATTTTAAACAAAAAACTATAGTCCAATAGCTATTTGAAGTGTCTTTTAGCTTTTATGAGGTTTTATCTTTTAAACTATATGTGATTTTACATCTTTTCAAAACTTACAACTATTTTTACTGAATATTTATATACAAATAAAAAAACTTACACTTTTAAACTTCCAATAGCTAATTTTGCTAAATGATCTAAACCTAGAAAAAAAAACATTATATCTAACGTATTGTTGAATTGTTGACACTAAATTTTATTAAAATAAATAGACGTGTCTAAGAAGGGAACATGGGATAATGCATTTGGTACTTGATTGGATTGTCTTCATCAATACGAAGGTAATTGGACATGGTAGAAAGAGTGAAATAAAAACACATAATTTCACCATTAAAGCATGTACTTGTCTTGGTTGAAATTTGTCAATTGAGCTCCACCTATGGAAACATGGTCCATTTTCACACCTTGAGCATCTATTATTTTGTAGGCTTATTTTGAAGAAAAGTTACAAAAAGGAGTCATGGGAATAGGTAAGTTTTGAGGAGAAACATAAAAAGAAAATGCATACATCATAACAATCACTATCACGGAATATTAATATTATCAAGTTCTGTTTCAAAAAAATTTAAA